TTGGAACGAGGGCATACTTCCTTAGAAAGAGCTCATAGCCAGCAGTTGTTGTTACTGACTTATTTTAAATAAATGTAACTTGCAGTGAAAACCTTTTCTTACCCAAAGCCCAAGTAGAATTCGGACTGCCCATTTTTTGACACATATTTATTTGGTTTGCTACTTTATTTCCTATAAATGAAAACAAAGATATTTGTCTATTTGGTGCACAGGTGCTTTTTTCATGCTGATCTATAAAAATGAGACTTATAAACTTGATAAAAAAACAAACAAACAAAAACACCATCAAGTTTTGTAAACAAAGGAAGTTTGACACCCCAAGGAAACTACAAAAACACTTTCTAGAACTAATAAATGAGGAAATCAAGTCATTGGAGCCAGGACTGAACCAGCCATCGCTGAATTCCATTCTTGTGTCAAAGATGCTTCAGCAGGGCCAGGCATCCCACTGGGTGCTTCAGCAGGGCCGGGCATCCCTCTGGGTGCTTCAGCAGGGCCGGGCATCCCTCTGGGTGCTTCAGCAGGGCCGGGCATCCCACGGGAGACTCCCCAGGGACAGACCACAGGAAGCATGCGCTCGGCAGCATTTCTCAGACTTCCTCTCAGCTGTGAGCTGCTCCAGTTCACGCTGGTAATGTGAGTAGACAGTTGATCAGAACAGAGTAAATGAACAGTGAAATAGCCTATGGAATCTTCCAACTTCATGACATTTGCATTCTAGTAAAAATATGTCCATGTTTAATAATAATTTCACTGCTTAACGTTCTCCTCCTACATGTTCAATCAATAGTGTAACCCTAGGAAGATGCCTAGTGAGGCTGTTCCATCTTTCTATCCCTTCCGTCTCCCCAGCAGGAAACATAATTGAGCTGGAGACGCTCTAAGGAGTTAGGACAGAGTGTGTGTGGATTGGCCAATTACTGGACTGGTTACGTCAAACACATTTTAATTTTCTTATGCCTCACATGGGCACAAGGCTAGCTCTTCTTTTCATGATCAAGGTGGAGATTAACAAAAAAAGTGCTTTTAAAACATCCCATCAGTGATTTGACACATGATAATAGTTCCCGCCCCCTTTCCTTTTGAGTAGAATTAATCAAACAGTTTTAATCCATCTTTAACTTTTAAAATCATAGAGTTCACATGTTACAGTCTTACACTCCAAAGTAGAAACAACATGTAGAGCATCCCCTTGATCTGTGAGTCTTGGAGACAAAGCTACAATGACTCTTGATTCAACAAATGATATAGTCTCTGCAGTTTCTGACTCTGGACATCGAGATAGCTCTATGTTGCCAAACGTTACTGTTCCAAGTTATGAGTTAATATGAGGTGATTAAACAAACGGATTGAGCTATAAGTGTATGATTTTGAGTCATCAAAAATTTAATTTTAAAGATATTAAATACTAAATGCTAAGAAGTGAATACTGGGAATCGTGAGAGCATTAATTAATAGGTGACAAAATTGGAAACTCTTAGACAAAAACACTCGCACTGATGTATTTAGAGTGGTTTTCAACTGCTGTGTTGAGATTAGTGGGAAAAGATCAGTGGAGTTATAGCAAGTCTACAGGGACGTCCACAACCCACAACCACAATCATTCTTGCGTATTTCCAAGTGTTAAAAACACCTGGAAATGCCATGGTAATGTTGCACATGTTATTGTCAACTTCCAAGTGATTCATATTGGGAAAAAATAGTCAAGAAGTAAGAACTATGATCTTTTCCTTGTATCTATTTATTACTCTTATCTGTATGAGAAGAACAGAAAAGCATGTTTTATGGATTAAAATATTTTCCTCTGTTAAAATGTCTCAAAATGTCCCTGATTTCATTTGGCTTAGTTATTTGTGTTATTAAGAGCTACATTAATGACAGACTTTGACTACAAGCTCTCCATGTATGTAAGATGTTTGTTTCCAAGAAATATTCACATTCTGCGTGTACATTGCATGCTGAGTGAAGAAAATATTTCATGCACAACATTTTATTTATTCTCATAAAATCATCATGAACTACAAATGGAGAAGTTTTAAATTTTATTTTTAATCTCTTTCTCTCCATTTTACAAATAATAAAGTACAGGTTTAAAATGTCATCAGAAAGTTGCAAAAAGGACTCAATTCTGAGGTTTCAGATTCTTAGTTGTAATATTTTAATAGCCATATTTTTCAAGTATTTTTCTGTCCTCATTTGCAGTTTCCTTATTAAGTGATGTCAAAGGGAAATAAGTACTTTTAATCTCTAAAATATAAAATATTTTAATTTTTAATTTTAATTAATATTTAATTAAAATATTTTAATTTTTCATCCTAACTTCCTCATTTTAAGATAGTTTTGCTGATAACTAAAAACTATATCTCTATTGAAATCATCCCAGACATGACTGAATAGTGGGAGAAATGTAAGATTTTTGTCAAAGACATTGAGTTCTATATTTTCGTTCATTTTCATGCCAACAAATGTTCTGGCTACTGAGGAAAACAAGCAATTTCAAAGCATCATTCCTGCCATTGGGCACACTGCCCTCTAAAATTCTCTATTGTGATTGAATTTCTCCTAGACGGTTACATCATTAGCAGCCCTGTCTACAACTACCAAGATTAATTTCCCATAGCTGCTTCTACCTAGAATTCAACCGAAGTAAAAACTGTTGTCAGAATAAAAAGAATGAGAGTGGTTATAATTTCTTATCGTGACAACCTTTTCGTCACTAAAATTTTGTAAATTTTAGACAAAATAGCGCTCTGACCATCCTAACCCACTCTCTTGCTAATACTGTTGACCTTTTCCTTCTGTCCCACTGCCCCGAAGGCCGGTTCATCCATCCTATCAGCAGTGGAGGACCCCAGAAGAAAGTGAAGCCACCACTGAGCTGGTCTTCAGCTTCACCTGGGCCCCCTAGAGCATGAGCGAAACTTCCCACGCCTCCCTGAGCGACTGCCATGTTCATTGTCCACAAGGAATACCTTAGATTCTTAAGACGTTCCTACAGTGAACTTCACCTAGTCATCCAAACTCAGTACCTTTCTTTCCTAGAAAACCTGAAGCCATGAAGCAGTGGTCCCTCTCCTCCCTTGAGGTGCTCCCAGCTTTGCACCCATATTGCATCACCTTCGCCTGGGAAACTGACCTTGCACTGCACTCCTGATTCAGCCCCCTCTTTCTTTCTCAGCAACTTCTTTCTCTTCTCCCCCTCAACAACTCCCTTTCTCTTAGTTTTTTTTTTTTTTATCCAGTCTTTATGTGTTTCTATCTCAGCATATAAATATTCTTAAGTCTCCCCCACTCCACACCCCAGAGACGAGACTCTTTTATTTCCATCCTTCACAGCCAAGTTTGAGGAAGAGAAGTCCTCGCAGACCCTACTGCCACAGCACAGCCTGCAGTCTGTTCTCCCTACACCACCATCTGTTTCCTTTTTCTATGGTTTCTTTTCTGTCAATATCAATCAATCTTAAAAATATGTTCTCCCTTTGTTTTGAGGACTGATTTCATTTAATTTTTCTACCCCCTTCCTGAACATTCAATCCTTTCTTCACCCCTAAAATTTTAGCATCTCCTTTTGGGTGAGTTCATTCACTCACATGGTGTTTTTGCATGTTGATGATTTTCAGGTCTTATTTTCTAATCTTTTTCTGAGTTTCAGGTCCCTATAGCCAATTGTTTCCTTGAAGTCCACTTGAACTTTAATAAGAACTTCAAAGTCAACAGGACTAATCTAAAATATAAGACTCTCTCTGTCAAGAAAGTCTTCTTCTTGAGAGCACTCTCTGGTTGAATGAGCCCACTGTCCACGCTTTTCCCAAGATAGAAACTTGAAAAGCATCATTGATGCCTCTCTTTTCTCTTCCCCCTATATCCAATCTGTCCACTCACCCTGCCAGTTCTACCTCCTCAATACCTCTCTTACTCTTTCTTCACCACTGCTGGTCTCTCACCAGATCACCTAGCATACTTAGTTGCTTCATCTTTTTCTAGGTAATCTTTCACTGGGCTACCAGAAGGTACTTTATGAAACAACAATCTGATGGTGCCATTTCTTTGATTCAAGACCATTAGGACTGCCCGTTACTTCTAATACGTAGTTGAAACTCTTCTGCAAGACATGTGAAACAATGGCTACTTCTCCAATCTCATCAATCTCTGTTCTTCACCATAGAGTCCAGTTTTGGTGATTTGCCCACGTTCCCCATATACCTCACACGTGTCCAAGCCTGTGTTCTTTTGTATGTGTTGCTTATTTTCAAGGAATACCCTTAAACATTTGCTTGGCAGATTCTTATTGAAGTGTCAGTTCTTGGAACCAAAGCTTCTTTCTCTCCCACAGCCTTTTCTCATCATCTACTTCCGAGTCTGCTCTCCTTCCTGGGCCACTTGCAAACCCCTTGTGTTCATCTCTGTTGTTCTACTTCCGTATTATATTGTAGTTACCTACCTCTTCTCTCCTCTCTGCCCTCGGAACGTTATTTTTGTTGTTGCTGTTGGGGTTCCAGGGATGAGCTGTTTATCTTTATATCCTCAGCTGCTAGTATTGTGTGTTTGTTAGCTGATTCCTATGTTTGTTGAATAAAAGGAATAGATCAGTGAATTAATTCACTGCCTCATAACTAAAAGATAATGACAAGAAGAAATAATAACTTTAAGTTAAAACTCTTTAATAAAAGTGTTAACTACAAAGCGTGTGATAAGACCCACCACCTTTCTGTATGAAATACATAAAGCACCGTGACCTTCTCTTGTCAGTAGGAAGGGTGCAGCTAAGGTGAGAACCAAGTAAAACAGTGTAAATATGTTCTGGTACAACAAGAACCTTTTTCTGCTTCCTTCCTGAAACATCATGTGCTATTATGTATCAAAGCCTTATAAACACATGGGTGCACAATGTCCAGGTGATCTTCATTATTCTGGAGACCAAATATGGCCGAAGTGACTTTTAACCACGGCAGCTTGACTGTGAGCCAAGCCATAATGCTGTGTGCTCTTTATCCTAACAGGTATTTGAACCAGACCCTACGAGACGATGTGTCAACAGCAGAGCATTCTCTGAACAGGGAGAGATTTGCTGTTTTGAAACAAGCCCTGAATGTAGTTGGCTTCAGTAACTTGGTGAGTTATATGATAACCATTTCACTGAGAAACCAACCTTATACTAATTTATTAAAGTTAATCTTTCAAAAACTTTAACTGAGTCCCTATCACTTCCAGATGTGGTTGCAAACTCTCGTGAGTCCGCAGAGAAGGAGCCCGCATCACTGCCCCTAGAGTTTACATTCTGGTGGGGGAGCTAGACATAGACAGTGCAGTCAGGGTCATAGGTACTACGCAGACTCAGAGAGAGTGACAAGAGGAGGGGCTGCTAGTTCCCAGAGGGTGGCCAAGGAGACTGTTCCCCAAATGAACCATGTGAGCCAAACAGATTAAAGAACTTTACATTGACTAATTCAAGAGAAAATTGGCAGATCTGAAGGAACTGTTTACTGGTAAGAATCACTTTATTGCAATATTGTCCTGAACAATATAAAGCTTTTTCCCTCCCTTTTTATTGAATTTACTGGAGTGACACTGGGTAACAAAGTATATAGGTTTCAGGTGTACAATTCTACAACGTGTCATCTGTATACTGTATTGTGTGTTCACCACCCCAAGTCAAGTCTTTATCTATCACCATTTATCCCCACAACACCCTCCTCCTCGTCCCCCCATCCTCACTCCCTTGGCAATCACCACACTGTTGTCCATGTTTTTTATTCTTAAAGAATTACCAAATATATGCTAGCATTATGAAGTTGAAAAATACAGTTTAACGTTATCCATTTCTAGGATCATATACATGTTCTAGGTCTGTGCTGTACATATGGTAACTACTGTCCTCTGTGGATACTGGGTACTTGACACAAGAATGAGGAAATGGATTTTTACATTTCGTTTTGTTTTAATTAATTGAAATTGAAATGGTATTGTGTGGTTAGTGGTTATGGAATTGTACAGCACAGGTCTAGTGAGTAAGAGCTATGAAGTGATCTAAGCCTTGAGACGTCTTAGAATTCCACACATCTCTTTGTCTTACACATTTTCTGTTTCTCCTTATTCAGTGTGATGCTCTTTTGAATTATGGCCGATTAGCAATTAGTATGAAGTTGCATGGGTAACTTTGGTACGCCGGTAGTCCAGGGACCCAGATTTATTCTTACATTTAGCTGTGTTCTTTTTTTTCTTAAGCCACTAACTTAATTGCTTTGGGTGTTTGTTTTTCTGTTGCCTACATAGATAGGACTAATGGGGCAATGTGTGGGTGGGACAGGTGCGAAGGTGACGAAAAGGGAGGTGAAAGGAGAGGAGACTCACCCCACATGAATTAGCTCTGGCCATTTTGCTTCATTTCACCCTTACCCTATTCAGAGATTGGAACTGCAGGAACGACAATCATATGGTATTTTTTTTCAAAAATCTGATTATCCAATCTCTGTACTTGTATTTTACTAACACCTACCACTTGCACTTTCTTATCTTTGCACTTGCTACTGATGTATTTTTTGTTATTTTTCCCCTTTCTCCTTCCTGAAATGTCTCTTTTCTTGTAGAAACTGGGATATAGAGGTGGGTAAGGAACCATTGTGCCAAAGTATCAGTTGCTTGGAAACAGGGCTTTAAAAATCCACGAGTGATCCCCAAAGGCAAGGCGAGCTCGAGAACCCGCCACCTAAGATAGCGATAGTGAACCCAACAACCTTTTTGGTAAAAATGTGGGCATTTTAAGAAAAAACAGTCCCTTCATCTCGATACTTTGGGGTAACTGGGATGGTGACATTTTAGCCCACTTAGTAAGGACACATCATGTCCAGGACAATTGGAAGGAAGGCATTTCGAGGCAGGTGAGGGCCTTGAATCAAGAGTAAGTGAGTGTGGTCCTGTGAGATCTGTTCACAAGGGTCCCTCCCTCCACCTCTTCCCTCCATCACCGCCACTCTAGCCGGCCAGCAAGATGGCAGGTGACTGCTGCTCACTCTGTCTTAACTTTAACTCACATTTTTTTAAAAAAAAATGTGTTTTTATTGATTTTTTAGAGAGGGAGAGGAAGGAAGAAAGAGAAACCTCAATCAGCTGCCTCCTGCACACCCCCTACTGGGGATCGAGCCCACAACCCGGGCATGTGCCCTGATGGGAAATCAAATCAGGACCTCTCAGTCCATGTGATGCCGCTCAATCCACTGAGCCACACTGGCTGGGTGGGACTCTTATTCTTTGAGACGTGGAGGGACCTGAAGATACTATGCTAAGCAAAATAAGCCAGTCAGAGAAAGACAAGTACCACATGATCTCACTTATTTAATGAACAAGATAAGCTGACTAACAAAATAGATCCAGAGACATGGAAGTAGGGAACAGACTGATACACTTCAGAGGAGGGGGGTGGGGGCCGGAAGAGATAAACCAAAGAACTTACATGCACATATGCACATCCCGTGGACACAGGCAACAGTGTGGTGAAGGCGGGGGTGGGGGGTTTGGAGGGAGCAGGGGGGAGGGAGACAATGGGGGAAAAAACAGAGACATCTGTAATACTTTCAACAATAAAAAAAAAAAGGAAAGAAAGAAAGAGAGTAAGAGTAGTTCTTAGGAAAACATCCACAGGTAGGAGCTTTATGTTTCCAAATTGCAGATTAGGAAAATAAATAAAAATGTAAAAGGTTATGACACTTGCCCTCTATGAAACTTAACCGATTGTACTGTTGATACCATCACACTAGATATAATTGTTCCAGAAAACTATTGTTTGAGTTTACAGCTTTTTCCTGACTTTTCATTCTTGCTACAAAATGACTGTCCAGAACCAAATTTAAAGTATTTTTTTCTTTATGCAGAGTTCCAGATTCTCAGATATTCTCTTTCAGCAAACATTCTTTTACTTCCTGCTACCTTCTGCTCAAAGACAGCTCTTGCCAAAATCCATTTTTTCCCTGAGTTTTCCTTAAAATACCTTACAAAAGCATTTTAATGAAGCATAGTTGTTCCCATCATGCCTCCCTTAATTTTCCAGCAGAAGTAAGAAGTTCTGTAATCATAATACCAATTTAGATGGACAGTGTTACACACTTTCTCTGGTGAAGCAGCCACCGCGGCCGTGAACTGTTTACAGTTCTGTGTGCCAGCTCCGGGAGGGTGTGCGGGTCTGACCTTACCAGGGACATCCAGCCAGTCAGACCATCACTACACAATGATTTAGTTTTCATTTTGATGCTTATGTGGAAATTCTTAATGAATATTAGGACATCACGTCCTTACTCTCTTTTGTTTTAGGAACAGAAACATCGATTTATAGGAAATGTGCATTGAACTATGAGATTTTAATTTTGAGCTAGAGATTTGACCATTCGAGATCTGAAAAATCACAATCCCACTAACAGGGTTCACATCTTTTGTATTTCATTTTTTTGAAGTTTATTTTTAACTTTAAGACAGTCAAGCATCATTTAGGTATTTTTATGGAGAAGTACTAGTTGCCATTAGACGTTTAGTTTTTGTATAAATTGTGAAAATACTGAAATGTGTTATACAATAATTGTATTCCTTATCTAGAATAAGAACGGTTGACCATGTTAACATTGTTAAAACCTACTCTTAAGTTTTTAAAGTTTGACTTTTGGTCTGTTTTCTTCTAAGCAATCCTGTTCATTTTCTTGGTTTGTAAAATGCATAGGAGGTGGAGAATCTGTTTGTGATCCTAGCAGCAATCTTACACATTGGAGACATTCGGTTCACTGTGCTGAACGAGGGGGACTCTGCCTTTGTTTCTGACCTCCAGCTCCTGGAACAAGGTCAGTGGAACAGAGCTAATGTTAACCTCATGGATATGCAGTTCTGCAGACTTACCAGTAGATGGAGACACAGTACAGAAAAGCCAGGTGGAATAAAATCTAGAGCAGCATTCAGTGAAAGTGGTGGTAGGGGGAAAAATGTAACTTTGTCCTTTTTTATAAATGGTTGTGGGAATTAATAACAAGATGTACATCTCTGTTCTCCTGCTGCCCACCATGTTAACAGGTTGATTCTTCGGCACATACTTGGGTTTATTTATATTCTAAGTATTCTCCACCCCCACCCCAGCCACCTGGTATATTTTGGGGGCATGTTATTAGCTAAACATTATAAACTGAATATAATTACTTCCCTGCAGAGATCTTGCCAAAAATCTCTTTCTCCTTTGAAGTTGTCTGTTAGTCACTCCCAGTTATTCTTTTCTCCCCAAATACCTTAAAACCGCAGATTGTCGATGAACAGCGTATCTTCACCTCATATCAAAGCACTTTAATCAGGAATTGGGAGAAAACCTTCAGGTCTATTTGTGAGGTAAAGGAGAGAGGAAAAAAAACAACAACAAACCTGTTGTGATTTAATGCAGGAGTCCCAAGAACTCATTAACACTTTGATTCCATATAGGCTGTTTCTTTATCTGAATTTGACAATTAAGTTGGTAGTTTAGTTTTCTTTAATATATACAATTTCTAATGGGTCTGTATAAACCTTATGAATCATAACCATAAAACACAATGTTTTTTTCTGTCAAAAAAAATACTAACTTTAATCTTCAACGTTGCTTTAATTTTAGTGGCTGGGATGTTACAGGTCTCGGCAGATGAACTGGTATCTGCTTTAACAACTGATATCCAATATTTTAAAGGTAAGTTTCTCTATACTCTGGCTTTCACCTCTGGAAAATCATGGGCTTCTTTGACATACAAAAGTTTAAAAAACTTACCCTTTCCCATTTAGTGAAACTATGTCTATGGATTGATTGCCAAGTGAGAAAAGCATTATGACGCTGTTTGGTCACTTGATCTGACTATATATTTATTGTAAATTATACTTTTGAGAGACCATTTTGATTCAATGGTCACCTTTTCTAGCTAATCAGTCATTTAAATTTTTTTTTCCTTTATTGATTTTAGAGAGAGAAGAAGTGAGAGGGAGAGGGAGATAGAAACATCGATGAGAGAGAACATTGATTGGCCACCTCCTGCATACCTCCCACTGGGGATCAGGCCCACAACCTGGGCATGTGTCCTGACCGGGAATCGAACCGGCGACCTCTTGGTGCATGGGTCAACGCTCAACCACTGAGCCACATTGGCCGGGCTAATCAGTGACTTTAGACAAAGTCAGCAGCTCAAGATGATTTATTTAGTTGAAACATCAGGTCCATTTGTGTATGTGGCACCCTCTTCAATGAAGAACATCCTTTTCCTCTCTGTCATCAGTCGCAATAAATAGCTGCCATTTATTGGGCACACATACAATAAGAATTGTGCCAAGCACTATAAATGTGGGGATTTAAAAAAATTCTTACAAATTGCTAAGAAGTGGGCATTACTGTTTCCATAACCAAGATTCAAGGAGGTCAAAGAACTTTGTAATCATTAGTAAAAGGCATATTTGGAAGGAGAACCTGACATTATTGGAGTCCCACGATAAGGCTCAATGCTGTGTGCATCTGCACGCAGTGGGCAAGGGAAGTGTTTTCCTCCATGCTCTTCCGTCATCCGCTACACATCACTGCCTTTCCAGCCCTCCTCTGTATTGTAGTTTTCAGGACTCACCTTCCACCTCGCCTATTGTCTCTAAATCACCATTATTCTTACCTTTGTTCTTATTGGACCTACTTGTAGGTGTTTAGGTATGAGATTTATATCTCCGAACTCTGAATCTCCCTGTTATTTATACAGTTGTCCAAAAGTCATTCTTTTTTTAATCCTCACCCAAGGACCTTTTCCCATTTTTTGTTCAGATAGAGTGGGAGGGAGAGAGAGGAAGAGACAGAGAGAAACATCGATGTGACAGGGACACATCAAGTGGCTGCCTCCTGCATGACCCAACCAGGGCTGGACAAACTGCAACCGAGGTACGTGCCCTTAGCAGGAACCGAACCGGAGCCTCTCTGGACCTCAGGCCAATGTTCTAACCGCTGAGCCAAACCGGCCAGGGGCCAAAAGTCATTCTTGATCCCTCTTCCTCCTTCTTCTGCACTGAGTAAATCCGACACACTCCAGCTCCACTCCATAAATAGCTCACTGCTATTGCTTTCCCTTTATTCCTATTTCCACGTCCTTAATTTATCATTCCTTCCCTAGATCCCGGCAGGAACCTTCTCCTTAATCTTTTACCTTCCCCTTCGCCTCATTTTACCTCCTTTTCACACGGCTTTCAGCTATAATTTTTCTGAAATGCAACTATGGTTTTCACCCGTGTGTGATCGGTGAACATCTTTGAAAGATTTTTCAACACCTTTAGAGTTACACTTGTTTCTTTAGGGTGGCATAGAGGGTCCTTATTATTTGGGCCGTACTTAACTTTTATGCTTCGTTTTTAGTGACTTTCTTACTGGTATGCTCGCATCCAACCACACTAAGTTTTTGGAAGTCATCCAAATGCATTATTTTTTTTCTTATGACTTAAAAAAAAAAATTGAACTCTCCATTAATATCCTCCACTTATACTTGCCCTCATCTCCCTCTACACCGGCCATGTTGGTGACTTATTTAGACCCTTCATCATCTGGACTCTAGAGACCTCAATTCTAAGATATCAGAAATGGTTCGCCACTTCTACTGCTACAGTATGTTGCTCCATCCCCCGGCCTTGAACTTCAAGTTCCCCGACTCCTGATTGCCCGCTGCTGTTTTGTTTGTTTGTTTGCTTCAGCTAGTCTCAGAAGTTCTGCTCCTTTATCTGTATTTCTATGATTAGCAACTTACCCCTCATTTCACACGGTCATCATCCTTTTATCTGCCTCCCAGCTCAGCCTGACCTGCTGCGGTCAGCCTGGTTGGCCACGGCTACAGAGTATGAACCTCACATTCTCGTCCCCTCTCCACTCTCTAGCACATGATAGGCTCAGTTCCAGGTCATCCTTACTGGTTTTTTCTTTGCTTTCTTCTCTAGTCTAGTCTCTTCTAAAATTTTAGCATTCAAGGTTTCAATTACCATCTCTTTGAGCATGACATGGAAATTTCTGCCTTAGGCCCAATCTTGTTCCCACATTCCAGACCCACATTTTCGTTAGTTGGATCATTTCTTTGAAAATATTTAAAATATGACTAATTTTCCAGATGGCCAGGTTTCCAAATGCCTTAGGGATGATTCAATATCCAAACCAATGAGCTGTTAGCAGGAAACTTGTTAAGAGGGGCCCTTCAAAGAGTTGGTTTCTTAACAGAAAGGAAATTACAGTTTGTAAAAGGTCAAAAGCTCTGTATTGTGGTCAACAGTTGAAACAAAAATATTGCAATGTATATGACACCCATGTTAGGGAAACATTTTATGTAATAATTGACAGATGTTTATTAGAGTCATATATAGAGTTTATATTTTACCATCTTCTGGTGAATGGGGATGTGTGAGGGACGAATAGGACATACACAGTTTAGTTTGCTTTTAAATGAGAGAAACTCTTGTTCTTATGCTTCCTCTCCTTTCTAATGTTCCAGGAGATATGATCACACGACGACATACTATAGAGATGGCTGAATTTTACCGGGACCTCCTGGCCAAGTCCTTGTACAGCCGTCTGTTTAGCTTTCTGGTGAATAGTGTGAACTGTTGCCTCCACAGTCAGGATGAGCCCAGCAGGTAAGACGGATGGATACTTGTCACTGATGTCGTCCTGTCACAGATAACTTAAGAAGTCTCACCTCTTAAAGGTTCTTTACAATCCAGTGTGACCCATGAATTGAGTGTTAAAACATTTTAACAAGGTGATTTTGCTTAAAGGATTTATTGAGTATTTTTTTTTTTTAAGATTTAAGTGCCCTCCCCCACAGGCACATTGATGAGTTTATCAGATTATCTCTCATGCATAGAGATACACACACACTCTCTCTGGACAGAAGGCAATAGGGCCTTTAGAGCACCATGAAATAGAAAAAATGTGTAAGTCCAGGAAGAAGACAGTTGAAGAATATATAAAGCACCTAATCTTGTTGAGGAGCCCATTTCTCTGGTGATGCATTTCAGATCAGTAATTCTTCCTGTTTTCTTCACCTACTTTGTGGTTACTTGACGAAGGGTCTCCATGGTAATCATTTCACTCATAGCCTTAATCACCTTAAGCAGAAGCTTTCAGGGCTATTTGATCATCTGAAAATTATAGACCTCCATGGCATCTTGTCAATGGAAGGCTTTGTTAATATTCTTGTCACTAATAATGACCTTGAGCAGGTCACTGAAAGCAAAATTGCATCCAGAAGACTTTACACATTCTTGTCTTTGAATGAGACCTCTTGAGAGAATTTCTTAGTTGTCCATATAGACTCCTTCACCAAATTTCTGAAAATTGCTGCCTTTACAGGTTTCTTGGGAAACATTCTCCCTAATATATTCTAATGAGAAAATTTCTAAATAAACATAGACATCTCAGACGATTTCAAGGACAAAGGAATGCTAAAATCTCCATTATAATGTGTATATATAAAATCCCACTGTGCATCGATCAGCATATTCAATATACAGATTTTGATTTGAGGGTAGATATAGTATTATTTATATTTTAGCAGATATACCTTAGTGTTTGGTATAGTGAGGATTTTGATTTTGTTGTTATTGCTTATTATCAGATAATATATGATTTTCCTTTAAATATCAAGATTATTTGCAGAGTGATATTAATATGCTAAGTGTACCAAATCAATCTGGCATAACATTATTGGCAGCTCTGCTGAAATTGACATTGAAAAAATTATTATATAAATCCAACTGCACTTAGAAACTTTCAGAAAATTTTTATTTGACATTTAAATCTTACAGTTTTAAATGTGTATAATTGGAAACATATGTAGTCTAGATTTTTTACTACACACACACACACACAGAAAAATATAAACATAAACCTTGGAAAACACATTATTTCCCTTTTAGTAGGAATATCGTCTCTGTGTCATTATGTAAATTTATGATGTTAGTTTTATCTTTTAAAATTCTTTACTAAGCAAATGAATGAGGACAGGGATTAGTGGGAAATTAGAAATGAATTAATGTATTATAAGTTTAACTTCTAAGATACAGTATTCTCATTTGAGTCATAACTCCCAGTTTTTTCTTTCCTATTTCTCCCATGGGTCACCCAAACCTAAATTTAAATCCTGAAATAATGCAAAGAAAGGTTATGTTTGCAGTATTTCTAACTCATTGAAATTCATGGAAAATTTAAGGTTTTGCAGATTTACAGACCCATTGCCAAAGTCACAGAAAGGTCTCAAAATTTGGATAAACTTACAATAGGCTTTTATAATTTTTGAATCTGCACAATATTGTGGAAATTTTGTAAAAAAATTATATAACATAAATATGTATCCCTATGGTTAAAGTTGGCAAGCACCCTTGATATTGAAAGGAAGTATTTTTTATGCTGTCTCTGTTTTGTAAATTTTGCAAGAGAAAATAAAGAGAAATAAGATATAAAGGGAGTAAAATAAGAAAGGAAAAACACGTGACATTGAAGCAGAACAACTCTTTGGTCTCGGAATGCTGGATTCATTTCCTGGATCGAAGCAGAATAGGTACAGTATTAATACTATAATATATTTTCAAAGGTGCTGCTTTCTCCACCTAGATTTCAAATAAGGTTGCTTCTAAAGGAAAATCACGGGGTGTAATGCAGAAGCTGACAGCTACTTAATTAAGATGAGCAGAAGAGGTCCCCGTGTCTGCCTGGCCACAGTCGAGCCAGTAAGATGACCGTGAGGACACGCACCATGTTGCTGCCACGGTCTTGATTTCCACGCCGGCCGCCTCACGCACCGCTGCAGGCTGGGAACCAGTGGGCTGGCCAGCTGTTCTCCAGGACCACTCTTAGTGGTCGGGGCATTTCAGAACAGAGGCACCTTGAGACTTATTTATTAAACTTACTTGAAAATGATTACCTAAGCAGATAAAAGGGAATAATGGTAATAATGATGATGATGATGATGATGAAAATAACAATCATCATGCAATGCCATTTGCTTTAAATTTTATTTAACAATTAAAATATGATTTTGAATAACATCAAATAATTTCTAAAGAAAACTGATGAAGTAAATTTTGACCTGACTTTTCTGGTGGTATTTGGCTGCCACTCCTGTGTGAATGATCAGTGACACACAATGGCCAGTGTAGGCATAAACAAGTCACGTGTTCAGACCACATGGAGATCCATATAGATTCCTACATTATCATATGAGAAAATTGTCGACCACTAGGGACACTGGAGACACTGGAGACAGTGTGTCCAGTGGGCAGGGACTAGATGACATACACGTCTTCCTACACACTGAGAAAAAACTGGCCAGTAAACAGTGGAATAGATGCCTGGAGACACTGACCTATTCCATTATTTAAAACAATTTTTTTTTTCTTTATTGATTTTTAGAGAGAGAGGAAGGGAGAGGGAGAGAGAGCAAGAAACATCAATGAGAGAGAACATCGATTGTCTGCCTCCTGCATGCCCCCCACTGGGGATCAGGTCTACAACCTGGGTGTGTGTCCTGACCAGGAATCGAACCAGCGACCTCTTGGTGCATGGGCTGATGCTCAACCACTGAGCCACAGAGGCCAGGCATCTATTCCACTCTTTACTGACCAGTTTTTCCCCAGTGTGTAGGATGGCGTGTATGTCGTCCAGTCCCTGCCCAGGGATACGACCCTTGTCCCCAAGGAGGCTTCATTCATTGCAGTTGGCCCAGCACTGTGGTTGCTGCATTGTCAGGAACCTTGAAGATGACAGCCAGGGTGTCTTCTTCTCGGGGTACCTTCTTTATTAGGAAATAGCATCCTGCAGCTTTACAATTCCCCTGCTTGCCAAGTGAGCTCAGTCTCCAGCGTGTCCTGACACAGCAGATACACTGTAAAAACTGCAGGATTGTCAACTCCTTTATTTTTGGCAAAGCTCTTTCCTATAGCTCTAAGTAGGTTCCTTCCAAGATCTAACCTCAGTGTCTTAGGATAGCACCTTAAAAATGAACTTTGTGCACCCTGACTGGTGTGGCTCAGTTGGTTGAGCATTTTCCCATGTACCAAAGGTCACTGGTTCGATTCCCAGTCAGGGCACATGCCCAGGTTGTGGGTTTGATCCCTGGTCTGAGTGCCTACTGGAGGTAACCGATCCATGTGTCTCTCACATTGATGCTTCTCTCCCCCTCCTCCTTCCTCTCTCTTTAAAATCAATAAAAACATATTTTTTTAAAAAAAAAAAATCCACAATTTATAATAAATTAAAAAAAAAAGAGGATTCTGAATAATTGTCCTTAACACTTCCATTGTTCCATAGTTTAATTTGCTTCATTATTATAAAACTTCTTTTTCATTTAGTAATTTTGGTTGCTTTAATATAATATAACATTCAAAATGGAAAGTCTAGCTCTTAATCATTTGTTCTCTTTCTGAATAAAAGTACAAACCTTTTGGAAAAGACAGGAAAACATGTTAAATGTATCTTTGTTCTGAAAAGGCCGCGTTACGGACAATGTTACGTCGGCCACAGGAAGAGTGTGTTATTGTTGTGTCAACATTGTAAGTAGAATTGATTGAAGTTTTTCACAGGTGTATTTTTTTTACTTACTTATCTTGATATAACCACTCCATTAAACAAGTGTGATTTGCACTGTAATGAAAACACATGTTCTTCTTATCCCTCATCTTCTTTAAAATAAACTCAATGAGAATAATGTTTTTCAGACCCTGGGAGAAAACATAAGAAGGTCCCAAGATTTTTCTGCTTACTCTTACATAAGTCACAGTTTCATGAATCTTTTCAGTCCCCAAATATCCAGTATTTGGACAGAAATTAATAGCATCCAAGAATGAGAGTTCTCTCTCTTCCACAGTTAAGGCCTATTGTGGCAGCGGGCTGCCTTCCGGGAAGGGAGCAAGGTAGGCTTCTGCACCCCTGCTGCAGGCTGCGCCTCCAGCCTCCCGGGATGGGGGACCGAAAGGAAGTGAGGGATGTCTTGGCCTCTGGATATCTTGAGGCTTTTCTGGTGAAGAGCATAACTCCCCGACCCCTTCTCTTGGCTTCATCATAGGTTCCTGGTGCCGGCCTTCTCCTCCCACAGTCCCCAGGAAATGAGCAGTGCGTCCACTCCTGCGCTGTTGTCCCGCTGTCACCCATGCTTTGGGACATCTGTTAGACAGAGGCTCATGCCACAGGGGTTGAGTCTCTGCGCCTTTCCAAGGGTGCCTCTTGGGTAGGGTTTCTCCAGATTGGGAGGGAATTGGGGATGGGATCGTGCCTTGAGGAGTTGTGGATATTTCGCTGGCTCACTTTTTATAATGGCTTAACCAAAGGCATGCACTAAACTGCATTTAGCTTTTAATAAGGATATCATCCCTGTGATTCTGAAATGAGATGAATGGTTGGAGAGTCGTACTAAAGTGTAATGAATAATACCTTACCTTTTTAAAAGAATGGTAAATAATTTTTGTGAGTTCTAAAATTAGACCCGTTTCATAATACAACACATATCCCTAAGATTGAATTATCAATGTTAAATTAATTTTTTCCTCTAAATTGACATTTTCATCAGTGTTTTGGTGCAGACTTTACTAGATCTCGAGCACGTAAAGGGATTATAGAAACTTTGAGAGAGTTCTCTAAG